CCCTTAGTCCCTGCCTGCACCTGGCTCTGACATTTCAGTTGCAAGAAGCCCAGGGGCGTTTGAACTTCCTGCTCTGATTTCGAGGCAGATCGGAAGAACCTGGCGAATCAGAGTCCGTCTGGGGGCTCCTGCACCGTCTTGGTAGCATTTTGCACCTAGCAGCTGGGCTAAGCCGATGCCGGCCAGTGGTAGAGTCTAGTGGCTGAGCCCAAGGAGCTGAAGCCACGAGCCACATTGGAGGAGCCTTCCTTCCTGCTTCCAGAGACTGAACAGCCCCCGTGCAAAACTGGCTTCTGTCACGCTCAGGGGCCCTTGGCTTGAGAGAAGGTGAAATCCACTCAGGCGAGCTTAAGAAAACAAGGGGTTTCTTACCAGGATTGGGGGCTCTCAGGACCCCGGCTGTAGGAGCTCAGAGGAGGAAGAGTGTCTGTGGTCTCTCGGTGGCCACACCTCCTTTTGGTCTGTCTCTTTTTCTTTTCCTGGAGATAAGTGCTGTCCCCAAACGCTTGCTTAGCCCTGCTCCATTGCGGTTGCTCCGAGGGGGGGCTTCATCCCTCAGATTTTTGTGAGCCCCCCACGCATCCTCCCACAGCTAAGGCGTCAGTCCCGTCTGTCTTATTTCAACTTTGACAGATAGAGAGAGATGCCTGTTGGCTCGGAGCTGCTGAGATGTGCGCCTCATCCCTGGTCCAGTCCGCCGGGGCTGGGTGTACAGGATCACGTGCCTGTCCAGGCTAGTAATCCTTCCGGGCTTGGGGTGGGGCAGGTTCTCCGACATCTGGGGGAGGCAGGTGGCAAAGGGCCCACCAGTTCGCTGTCAAGCACGGTGACGTCTCCACTCCCATTAAATCGGAGGTGATTTCGTCTGCCTGGTCCACCTAGTCCCAAGGAAAGTCGGTCTAAAGCAACAAAGTAAAAAGGCAAGAGACTGAGATGCGTGCAGACCTTGGCCTTGGACACCCTTTGGCCTCCCCGTCTCCCCAGCTGGTTTGACTCCTGGTGTCCCAAGCCCACGCTGGGTCCGGAAACGCGTACAAACCTGGTCCTGTAGGCCCAGGTGAGGCGGGACCAAAGCCCACACTCCTCTGTGTGCCCCTGTCCACATCAGAGGCTTTCATCTGTGTTGTGAGTAATGAGCAGAGACTCGGTATTAAAGCAACTTAAAAAGTAATGCAATAAATATTTTCCGCGTAAACGTGTAACACTTGCAAATGATCCCACTAACCAGTAATATCCTTTGACGTGCAATTTATGTTTGCACAGACATAGATCTTGCCCTGCCTCAAAACCCCGTCTTTTTTCCCACACCCCAGAGGGAAAAAGAGGATCTTATTATGGAGTGTTTGTTACGGGCCCGGGTTCATTGTCATTTCAGTCTGGTGGTTGTTTGCTGTCGGTTTTGTGTCTTCCTAAGAATTGGGTTTCTTGCGTGACCTCCCGTGCGTCTTGTCTCTTATTTCTGCGCTGCTTAAAAGGTTTTCCTTTGTTCTGGTCGTATTATCCTGGCCACAGAATGTCTACTTTACAAAGACTTGGTGTTCGGTGAGCTTTGGGGCCATGTTGATTGGTTTATTTTATTCGACAGGAGGCAGCCATCAGTTGCTGGGTCCAGTTCAGCGATGGCTCCATCACCCCCTTGGATATCTACGATGGGAAGGACTTCTCCTTGATGACCACGTCCCTGGACGAGAAAGTGGTCTCCATCCACCAAGACCCCAAAGTCAAGTGGCCGATCATCACCGCTGAAACTGAGGGACAGGGTCCTCTGATCAAGGTGGAAATGGTTATTAGCGAATCGTGCCAGAAGTCCAAGCGGAAGAGTGTGCTGGCTGTGGGAACGGCCAACGTCAGAGTTAAATTTGGCCAAAGTGATGCTAACCCCAACACCAGTGACAGCAGACACACGGGGGCAGGAGTTCACCTAGAAAATAATGTCAGTGACAGAAGACCCAAAAAACCCTTGCAAGAGTGGGGGGGTCAGGGGGGACCGTACTACGGGAGTTCCTCCATGGGCCTCATGGAAGGAAGGGGGTCCACGACAGAGAGGTCAACCTTCCAGAGAAAGAAGAACCAAGAAAGCCTCCTAGACGATGGCCGCCATCTGCAGACCGTCGCCATTGACTTCACCAGCTTCCCGACCCAGGGGGGCCCGCCCAGCAGCAATGGGGAGGTGGACGAGAACGGCCTCACACAGGCATCCAAAGGGCTGAGCGACTTGGAGATCGGCATGTATGCCCTGTTGGGTGTCTTCTGCCTGGCCATTTTGGTCTTCCTGATAAATTGTGTGGCCTTTGCGTTGAAGTACAGGCACAAACAGGTTCCCTTCAAAGAGCAAGAAGGCATGAGTCACTCCCATGACTGGGTTGGGTTGAGCCACCGGTCAGAACTGCTGGAGAACCACATTAACTTCGCCTCCTCCCAAGATGAGCAGATCACCGCCATTGACAGGGACATGTATTTCGAGGAGAGTAAGTATCTCCTGAGCACAAACTCCCAGAAAAGCATCAACGGGCAGCTGTTCAAGTGTTCGGGACCCACCATTGCTGATGGGAAGGATCAGAAGAGTGAGCCCCCAACGTCCCCGACCTCAAAAAGGAAAAGGGTAAAATTTACCACCTTCACCACCATCCCCTCGGATGAAGGATGCCCTGCCGTGAACTCCGTCCCGACCAGTGGTGAGGACACGGACTGGGTCTGCCGGGAACTGGACCCTGGGGAAAGCAGACCGCCACACCGCTACGCGGGAAGGTTACGTGAGGACGTGTAAGCCGGGACACTCGCACACATTACTTCGCACTCAACTCCCAGCCTTTAATTTGGGGACGGAGCGTAGCGACCGGACACGATGAGGTCGTCCCTGTCCTCAGAGCCCCGGAAAATGCCCCTGGCTCACCTGGGGGTGGCCCCACGTCGGGACCCGTGCACACGTCCCACCATACGGTGTCTTGGTCAGTGCCGAGAGGCTCACCGTGCATGGCAGGATTTTTAAAACTTGCAGGAAAAACCGAGTTCTGAATCACTGAGCTTCCGAAAGGTTCTGGGAATAAGCAGCCCCCCTCTGCCCACGGCCCTCTTTCTGTCTTTAATCACAGCACTTTGGAGATTGTGAAGCCGTGTGGCTGCCGTGTGCGATCGTGCAGACCGTGGAAGACGACCAAGACTCCGCGGAAGCGTGTGCCTCGCTGGGAGGCGGCGTGTCGCTGGGGTCCGGACGCACAGCTGGCCGTGCACGGGGTCGGGGGCAGAGGCCAGGGCGAGGCAGCTCCTGGGAGGCGTCACCGCGGCGGATTGTCTCCCAAAGCCCAGCCCGGCCCAACGACAGACCAGGGCGCTGCTGATGGGGACTGAAAGGGAGCACGTGGGCAGAGGGGCCACAAATGTCTCTGTAACTGGATGCGGAGAAGAAACCCAACAGACCCCTCGGAGCGGTCCGGGCGTTCCTTCCTTCGTAAGCTCGGGATACAGGGCGTAGAATGTCAGGCCGGTTCCAAGAACCAGGCTTTTTGGGGACGAGTTCACTGCGTTAGAATCTGTACTCACCCCCCCACCCGGCCACCTTTCTGAAAGCCGTTGGTCACTCGGCAGTGGGGGCCTTTCCAGCGTTCACGGCGTCCTTCTTCCCCCACGCCCGGTGTGTCAGCTCCAGGGGACAGTCTGCAGTGGCCCCGCCAGGCGAACATCACGCGTCCTTCTTGAAGAGGCAGGTCTCTGCGGGCAAGTGGTTCTCACGGTGAACGCAACCCCAAGGGACACTGGCTCCCCTGTTCCTCTGGAAGGACGGGAGAGCTGTTCGCGGACAGCCCTGCGACGGCCACACCGGGCCTCCCGTCCGCGGCCACAGAGACACGTGCCGGCGTCCCTGCGGGGTGTGGGGCCGGGGAGAGCCGGGGCAGGAAGCCCGTCCACACCCCTGCGCGGGCTTGGACACGTGGGGGGACCAAGGCGTCCGCGCGTGGGGTGCAGACAGAGACCCTGCTCAGCCCTGAGAGGTTTGCTGTGGCTTGAATCCGAAGGACTCGGAATGTCCCCCTCCCGTCCGTGGGAAGCCTAAGAACGGGG